GATCACCTGTAATGTAAAATAATACACATATAATATACATATAATATGTGTATCAAAAAAAACACATTTTCCTGATGGCCCTATATATATATATATATATATATATATATATAATGGTGGTTTTGAATCATTAAGTTGTTCAGTTGAGTTTTTGTGAAATTTTCATTTTTCTTCAGAGAGCTTTTGGAATCCTCAAAGTAAATATGAATGGAAAACAATTTACCTAGAAAGCCATCAGTCAAATCATATATTTTAAAAATTCACTTGTCAGATGCTTTAAAATCATCAATTGCTCCAAGATATTTAGAAAAAAACTTGTACATATCATTCAAAATTAAAATTCCAAACTTTTAATTGATTTTCTACATAGTGCTTTTGTCCAAATCTACTAATATTTATTTGATGATTTTATCAATGTTCTTTAACCTATTGATAAATTTGTGACTTTCTGCATTTGACTGAGAAAATTCTATAATAGTAATTTTTTCAGCAACAGTATAAGAACAGATTCTTTTTGTCATTATAAAAAAAACTGTGAATTTAGAAATTTTATTAATGATTGTTTCTGAAATATTGTCACTGGTCATAATTATACTCTCATGTAACAAGATATTATAGGTCAGTCAGTCATATATTATCAAAATTCTCTTTAATATTTATTTAATATTCAATCATTAATGCTCTCTTTCTAATTAATATCTCTTGTACTAACTACCTTGATATTTATTCATTAATGTTAAACATTCATATCTTTTTACAAATTATTATCTCTTATAATACTTCTCCAATTAATGAAAGTATAATAATTCTGCTGAATAAATTAATCATTACCTCTTGTAATAGTTCCACTTGTGACTCTTTCTTTAATAATTAAATGATTGTTAATAACCATAGTGATATATAAATGAGGATTAATATGAATACTAATATTTTTAATAGTTTATTACAGGAGTTCTCTTGAACAAATATAAGCATGGATAAGTGATCAGTAATAGAATAAAGATATCATGAACAAAAACCTTTTTATGGAACTGAAGAGTGAAATTTCCAATTAAATATGAATAGCTGTATATGGTAAGTTTAATTTGATCAGTCATTGTAATGGTGCAAGTCACCTAGTCCCGCAACTTACTGCGCCTCGTGGCCAATTTTGGGAAAAATATCAAATCTCAGAATTGTAAGTTGAAGAGACTGAGCCATAAATATAATAGTAAATAATATAGAAAGTATCACGGCAGATACTTAAGATATTATAAATATCATTGAGATGTGCTGGCTCAGGCAGATAACAAAGGACTGCTGAGAAAATGTTACCAGATAGGGAGAAATAAAACTTGCCCTGTAAACAGATTAATAGCTTGAGTGCTATTACAGCCATAAATAAAGAGAGAGTAATTAAGAATTAAATAATTAGATACTACCATAAATCAAAATAAATATTATTTTAACCAAATAAAGAGATTTGTGAGAGATGCGGATTTTTGATCTCACAATACAATTATGATGTTAAAAACAATATTGATCCCTGAAATTCTTTGGTAATACCAATGTTCACTTTGTCTGGTTTTGTTGCAGCATGCCCCATATATTCTTTTGTAATTGGGTCTTGTGTTAATCAATAAATGTGAATTATATTTTCTTTATCATGAAGCTCATATAATTTTGGACTAAAATAATAAATAAAATGTTTAATTACAACAATAATAATCTGAAGCCAATACTAATAAATAATTTGAATTATGTAATTTTTTAATGACACAGTTCTGTTTATACTAGTTCATTTGTTATTTTCATAATTTATACTCTTCAAACTATTTAACCAAGCTTTGTATATAATTGCAAACCCACCTTCACATATCTTTTAATATTCGTTAGATAATCATAGTTGTTACATCTTTTTACTTTAAATTGTGCTTTTTTAATCAATTGATCTAATGCTTCATTGCCACTAGTCCATTGCATTATTGACACCATGCCAAATTAGTAATTTTCCATACCTTTCATCCCCTCTCTTTGATCATTTTTTTCAGTAAAAGTATCATGATGTTTATTTTCATTTAAAGTGTTTTCCGTTCTAAAATTTATTTATATTTTTATTTGTATAATTTGTCAAAAAAAATTTTTTTTCCCAGCTACAAATGTATATCACGTGAACAAGTGGACAGATGGATTAAAATATAGAACAAGCAATGATCATCTTTATTCGTTATATCACTCATTACTCACTATCAAGGTAAAATTATC